TTGTTGGGCGAGGATTGTGGTCCTTTTTCTGTGTAGGTACCTCGTAGTATGTATTCAGGAAAGAAATGCTGCTGGTGAGGGATGAGGTTAATATGATTGGTCGAGGAGCAACCGGATTACATAATCCACATGATAACAAACGAGAAATGTTGAACTCAACAGACAGATGGATTTTCATGATGACTGCTTTTCCATTTGAGTATGATACTTCTCCTTTTCTACTTGAAGTGGTGGATAAAAGAAGCCTTGGTTAGTAAATCCCAGGCGCCTTCACTATAGTCTTCTTGATAGAGAGCTCCAATTTTGCTCATTGCAGCACTCTTCGTATCCGGAGTTTGAACGGCCATACCTACCCAAACGTTATGGAAGCACCGACCACTAGGAATGCGAAATTCAGAACTGCATGTGATAGATGCTACAAACTCAAAGAACGATGCGAACGCGCATCTATCTCCGTCAACTGTGCACGATGTGATAGGCTGGGGGTGACTTGTTCTACAGTGCGGCCTGTACGGCCCGTGGGCAGGAGGGCAAATTACACTCACTCAGTGACTAGATTGGCCTCGAGGAAATCCAGCAAGCCAGTGCAAAATCAGCCTAGTTTTGATTTATCTTTGAATATGCTTCCTAATTCACAGCCAGAGGAGGAGGAATTGTTGTCGTTTTTTCTAGGCAAATCGGGAAATCTAGATCAGTTTATTGCGTACCCCAGCTCTCAATCCGGGAAGCGGCAGTTATTTTCTGTTCAGCTATCAAGTGCTCTTCCATCATTCAGAGATGCTTTCCTCGCATGTGCTCTATCGGTAAAACAACTTCAAACAGGTACCACAGGGGATGCGGGTTCAATTTTCAGTGTTCGCTATATATTGAAGGCTATGGACGCATTACGTTCGTTGACTGTTTTATCTTCACAAGATGCAGTTCTTTGCCATGCTCTTGGAGGCTTACTTGCTTTCTCAATATCTTCCGCAATCGGCGTAGGAGTTCCAGATATTTGTCGTCACTGTCTCGGTACAACAACTCCTTTCATGAAAACAACAGTTTCCGATGCACAAGATGATCCTTGGGGAAGCTTTTTGATCCTGTTGGAAACTATGGACTGTCTCATGCATCGACAAAAGCCGATATTGAGGATTCGGGTACCTACTTCTGTGGTCATTGACTGTCGTCTTGGCCTCTGTTTACCTCTGTTACCCTATTATCATGATCTATGTGTGATCAGTAACACACTTCTCAATACAACTGACGCGAATGTTCTAGCTCGTTTGCAAAAACAGCTAGATGGCATACATTGCATTGTGGAGCCATGGCAGCCATCTCAATTAAATGGACTCATTGAGCGCTTTGATTCAACAGAAATCGTTCATCTTCTCGCGCAAGCCAAAATCTACCGCCTGGGAGCTCTGCTAGTTGGTCATAGATTACGATATCCTTTCGGCCAGGAAGATTCTCAAGCGGAATTCTGGTCAAAAGAAGTAATGATGGAACTTGAAATTGCAAAATTAGTCACAAAAAAATCTATGCGCTTTGTAACATTACCATTTATTATCGCTGCTGTTGAGGTAAGAGAGGAAAACCTACGTGTCAAAATGCTTGAGCGTGTAGATGATTGCGTGGATGATTTTGCTCAGTTTATGCAAAAGGCTACGAAAACATTTTTGTTGAGGGTTTGGCATGAGAGAGATGTGAATGTTACGACTAGGTGGTTTGATTCGATTCATAAACCTTGTCCTGTGTTAAACGCTCTGACTGAGACTTGTTCGACTGGCTAATAGATGTAGCTAATGTTCGTTTGAAGGATATTTGTAAGCTTCTGTTGTTACAAATATCACATAAATTTGTCCTATGGGAACAGCTTTGCAGATCAATATTTGGATAAGAACTATGCTAAGAAAGCTATGCTGAGAAAGAAAGGTCCATACAAATAAGCAGTGCAGAAATTCATCTAGTAAATAGCTACCCGCGTTTACCAGACAACCTAGCGCACGATTGCCAATATTCAGGACCCGGTCTACAATGAGAAATTCAAAGCTTTGGACTTTAAGAAGAAATTTATATCCGGTCCAACGGTTCTGGCGATCAAATAATCTCATGAGATCTGTAATTCCTCTACGCCGTATTTATGATCGAGTCCAATATAGCTGCCGCCTTCAGCAAAGCTTCATCCTTCTGTCTATACCCTACAAGCTGCACACAAACCGGTGCGTCCTTGTACTGTTCGGGACCGGTATCTTCGAGAATATATGTCAGCCTGGGCTATACTGAATTGGGGAGATATCGATACTTACACAATTTGTAAATTTGTTCATCATCTGGACCGAACTTGGCGTTACTCAAATCATCAGCCAAGTCTGTGTCTTTCACTTGATCTACCGGAATTACAACGGCTGGATAATCAAGATAATTCCACAAGCATGTATATGCTACTTTTGACCAACAATCCAATGGAACTGCAGTATGCGCTGCAGGAGGCATGAGAATTATGTCCAAGTCGTTATCGCGAAATAGTTTGAGATACGTTTTCGCGGTTTGTACTCGTCGGTTATTCAGTTCGAAGAAGCCTTGCAAAGTCATTCCTGGCACTGAGAGAAGGCCGATTTTTGCTAGTGATGGAATTTCCGGCTCTCCTGTTCGCTCGAATTGTTCTAGATAATGCTTTTAAAGTCAGTTAACACATCTCAAGCTGCTTGGTCGAGATTTTCTAGACTTACAGCGCTTCCTGATAGTGTCATATAGCTGATGAAGTCTTTATAGATTGAAGTGACGTCGGCTAGATTGATAGCAATTATCTCAACGTCTTTGTTTTCACTGAGAGAATCAACCACCTGTTTTAGAACGCGTCGAACAGGGGGCGACGGGGTAAATACTCCATCATTTTGTGCAACACCAACTCGGAGTTTATGTGCGGGCTTGATATCTAGCCATGGAATCGAGATTGCAGTACTGTCATACTTCCATGTATCTGCTTGAAGTATTGATTTGAGGAATAATTCGCAATCCCGGAGCGAAGTCGCCATTGGTCCAACAGTCGACTTAACACCATCTGTTCCAGGCGGAGTAAGATCTCTTACACCATCATGAGGAATCAATCCTACACTAGGTCTAAATCCATATATACCATTACATACCGATGGAACACGAATGCTCCCACCAATATCCGTTCCAACACCTAAAATACTACCTCGAAGAGCAAGAAGTGCACCTTCACCTCCGGTACTTCCACCCGCGGTTAGCAATTTATTCCGCGGATTCAATGTTCGTCCGAAGATGTTGTTGTGACTATCTCCCGTCATGATCGATTGGGGAAGATTGGTTTTGCAATATAGAACTGCACCTAAATCGAGGAGCATCGTAGCTAGTGCGCTATTTCCCGAGGCGGGAGAATTCACATAACATCCTAATCCAGTTGAGGTATCGTATCCGGCGACGTCAAAACTATCTTTCAGGGAGAATGGTAGACCGAATAGGGGAGGAAGAGGTTTACCGGTTGATTTCGAAGAGGTGTATTGGAGATCGAGAATCTTGGCTCTTTTGATTGCGGCGGAGAAAAAGATTTCCGTCAGACAGTTTGTCTGTGAGTTTTGAACATCGTTAGCTTTCTTTTCTTTCTCCTTTGGATGTCTCAATATCCTCTACATCTCCAACAAACACCCCACGAACAAACTCACCAATTGATGAGCAATCGCCGCTCTTTTGCAAAACGCAATAGCTACTTCCTCCACAGTGAAAACTCCATTCTTCATCAATCCAAGGAGTGCAGTAGCGTCGTAGTCAGAAGTTATTTGACATTCTGTCTCGCTTAAGAGTCCGCTGCTGAGAGGGACGTCCATTACGTTGGATATGCTTTGGTATTTTTCGCTGGGAAGGCGCCATTTTTGGGGTATGAGGGTGTTTTGTGTGGTTTTCTTTAGGGAGGAGAGGGTAAGGTAGGGGGTTGGAGGGTGTTGGGGTGGGGATGAAGTCATTTTGATGGCTATGGGAGGATGTTGGATGGATTCCGAGGCTTGAGAATAAAGAATAATGGAGGGAGTCAAGTGAAGCGAAGTTGAAAATTCAGTTGGGAATACTTCTGGATAATACAATTCGAAGAGGACATTTGTATATATATACATATATGCCCAATTTCTAAGACTAACCCCCAAAAGCATTATCAAATCTATCTCGACTCTCAAGGGACCCCCCCCCCCCCCCCCAGAAGAACCAGAACTCATAAGTAAATATCAATGTTAAAAACTCTCCGGCTCCGGTTCCGGTCCCTGCTCCATTGATTCTCATAATTCATCCGGCTTTAGCTCCAACCTAGGATCAGGTTATCTCTACCATGAATAAAATAATCCAAACCCACACCCCGCGCTCAACCTATTTCATAGAGATAGAGATGTAGATAGAATATAGAACATAACATAGAACATTAAACCTCCCTCCCTCCCAGCAAGCTCTTCAACAGATCCCACGAACTGCTTTCCTGAACTCGTGAAGCATCCATGCTGCTCGCTATTGATTTGTTGAGCGCAAATCTCAAATCTCAAATCTCAAGTCTCCGGTCCCACTGTAAGGCTGTTAGGTTAGATTACAGTGGGGTTACGATATAGTCAAAATAGAGTAAAACAACTCTCCGGTTAAGTCTCCGGTTTGAGGGTTTGAGGGCTTGAGGGTTTATGAGATGAGATGGAATGGAGATGGAGACGGAAATAAAGTTGAAGATGGAAAAACAAGTCAGAGATGCATCATTGCATGGAAGTATATTTAATAATAACTACCGTAGGAAGAATTCAGATACTTTATTTTCCTATTATCTCAGTACTGCGGTCTGCCCACCCCCCCCCCCCCCCCCCGAGTTTAGCGGCCGCCGCATCAGGCAAGGTACGTGCACAGGCCAGCCGCCGCTTTCAACATCTATAAGAGTCGCGGTCCCCCTCTTTTCAACCATCATCCTCTGTATTCCTTTCCCAACACTCGTTCAATCTCGCCATACGTTGTAACATTGACCCACCTCAATATTACCCACCTATCGGTCGCGCCGCAGCTGAAAATTTCGACGGTACAACCCACTTCAAGCAGAATTCTTGATTTACTGCTCCATTCTCGATGTTTACACCTATTCTGATTGCAGATCTCTCTTTCAATACTATTTCATTGGTTGGGGTTACGAGAATGAGTTTATTCCAGCTTCGTCTCTTGGACATCGCATCATCTAGAACATGACGGCGACACATCAATATTGCCGGTCCCCCGGTCCCCGGTGTCTTTTGCGTTAGCTTTGCTCTTACGCACCGCATTCTAGCCAATTGCAAAAATGCCTCATGAGAACAGGGTTTGCTGCTGCTTGCTGCGCCGTTGATGAGATACGCGGCGAGGAAGGGATACCTTGTATGATGAAGACAACGATATGCGCAATATGCCTTGACTTAGGCTGATTTGTGATGAGATGGGCAGATTGCAGCTAATCTGGCTGTGATTGCAGATCCCAGGAACTGAATACGAAACTTCAATGGTTTGAGAGCTAAGTCACAATCAGACAGACATGGGCAATTACAGCAGCTAAGCTATGTAGCCCTTGGGTAACTCTATCTGGCGCATGGGCTATACTAGATGGATGAGTTTTCTGTTGATAACATGCAACGGGAACACGAGCCCAACATGCTGCTTCTAGCAAATGAAGTGTGTATTGCCGCCAGAGTGGAAACAAGATCATCTCCAGTGCAGTCTCATTCCTGGAAATGGAAGGTTGTCTAGGTGCAGCCTGCATGTTTGAAAGCCGAGACGGGGAAAATCTATAATGTTCCATTTGCGGTAGCGCTGAGGATCGAGAAAATTGATGGGATCGGTCGATGTGATAGGAAGCGCGGTGGGTATAGGAGCTGTGGCTGGGCAATTGGGCATATTCTGAGACGAGATTGTAGGATCCATGAGGTATCGGAAGGTCTAGCTCTTTGTTTGCAAGCGGTACAAGGAGTCTACTTAAATACTTCCGTTTCCTCATTTCTGCCATTTTCTACAATTCATTTGTATGGTTTAGAGTAGAGAAACTCTTTAATATTATCAATCATTTCCGTGCATTCGAGATAGCCACTTTTGCCCCTATCCATTATACTTATGTGCCAACTGCCCCACGCTCCAAGAGCACAGCAACTCACTACACTCCTACCCAAAAACAATCCAATGTCCCCAATAAGACGCAGTGTATCAAGCCGAGTGTTATGGCACTTGATAGCACGCGACAAGAAGCAGCCGATGATGGAGGCTGCAAGTCAAGAACTCGTCGTAAGCTCCACTAGAGTATTAAGAAATTGAGTTAATGCCTGTAACTGACTTATGAAAATCTGAATAGAGATCAGCACTATCTGCAGCAACGACGAAAAACTTGAGGAAAACTACGACATTGACGATGGCGACGTTTGTCTTCCTTCGATTAAGGAAGTGCTGCAGTATACTACGCCAAAGAAGAACGATCCTATGCTAGGAGATTCAAGCCTAGATAACACAATTCAAGAAGATAAAGGGATGGGTTTGGGCGAAACAGACGAACTTTCATCGGAAGAGGATAGCCTGGATCCAATTTCATACAAGAGGAGCTCGACGGAAAGAGACCAAAGTAGCTTGGGGACCCAAGGTATGCGTATCAGCTCTCTATTATCCAGACAAGCAGTCTCCTGACCACATAAACACAGACAGCCCGTTCATTCTCGACGATGACGAACCAGAAGCTCCTAATCTTCAAACCACTTCCGTTTCCACCTCGGTCAATCTCTCCAACTACGAAGAATGGTGGGATGTCGAAAAAGGCTGCTTCGTGGCTGCAGATCCTCCGCTCGAGCAGGATGCCTTGGCCCCTACACCTACCCAAGACCAACCTGGCTCTCACCAGCACTTTTCTGGAACATTGTGGGATCAGGCCGAGCTACCTGACAACGATGAAGCCGAGCAGTGCGTATCAGTGGAGCCAGTATCGCAATCTCTACCTACACCATTAGGTGAGAATGACGGAGAGAGGAAGAACAAGAATATCTCTGAACATGCAGCGGACTTAAGTCTACTTTTGAACAAGCAAAAAAGTGTATCGGCTACCGTTCTTGGTCCTATATATGATGATCGCGGCTCTACTGAGCCCTTGCAGCCTGATAATGAACTAGGACTTAACCAGAGCGAAACTGGTTATGGCAGATCTAAGGAGCTCGGCCATAGTTCTCCACCTCACCATCGAGATCACGACGAAGACCAGCCAGAGGAGCGACAAGATGAAGAGACAATGGTATAAACGATACGGGAGAATAACGAGGACGAGCGTGCGCGAGACAAATCGAAACAAATGCAAATGCACAAGGAGGAAACTAACGGAAGCTGCCATTTTGAGCGCGGCGCAGGCACCACAAACGACGAGGACGAAGGAGACTCACGACCTGGAAAATGGCAGAAGCCCACCTCACTACCTACTTACAGTTTGAAGTCACCTCGTGCGAACAGCCAAAAGCGTCATCTCAGACCACGTCACAGGCTCATAACGCGTCGTTCAGCCACGCCACTTGAGGAAGATAAGTTACCATCACAAGACCGTTACAGCCGTTTATCAACGCCCATTGATAACAGCCATGTACGAGGCTCTCAAAGTCCTCCCCATATAGAGCTGGCGGCAGTTGCGAAGTATCAAGAATGGTCTCTCCAAGGTTTCCTAAAACGTACTAGGATTGGGGACAAGACAACATACGATATCTCATTTGAGTTAGGCCATGGTCCAGAGCACGTTCATCACTCTATTCTTTCCGAAATGTTGAATACTAGTTCTAATAAACCAATACTTGCGAAGACTGTTGTACCTTCTAGATTGTAGGAAGCAAAGGCTCCAAAAACCTGCAGCGTTGTTATACATTCCAAACGGCATCCAATAATGTTTCAAACAAAGACACGAGTTCGATGGACACCAAACGAGAGCAAGACAATAGTCAAAATGAAGACGCGGGAATGCTCCTGGGAGGAGATCCATGGCGCTCTCCCTTACAGGACTTTAGGGGCAATTCAGGTGCAGTAGTTGACAAAACTTAAAAAGTGACGGTAGTAATTTATACCATCTTCATTTCTTTTAGGTTTTCTAAATAACAGAATCAAATTAAAAGCTATAGGCTTTAGAATTTGTTTAACAAGTTGCTTATACTTATTATATTGTTAATTATAATACTCGTCATTATTACGATCTATATATTTCCTTAATTCACTCTAATTCCTTCGTTTTATAAAATTATATTCTAGGTTGAAGAGATAGAATTGACTTTTTTTTTACAAGTATCTACTTATTTATAATATCTAATTATTACAAAATATATATAAAAAGTAATATTTGAATTTAATAGAATTATTTTAATAAGTATTATTTATAGAATAAATAAATAATTAATATTTTTTATTTTTTATTTTTTATATAAAAAATGTATAAAGAGTATTAATAGTGATTTCAGGTATACATATATAAGGTTGAAAAAAGAGTCTTCGATTTATTGAATATATCTGATATTCTATTTAATATATTTTATTATAAACACCTTTATATAATTAATAGTATATTTGTTAATTAGTTTAGAAGTCTAATCTATAAGACTAGTTTTATTATCTTATTCAATTCGAAAAACACTCATATCCTAAACTCTTTACAAGCAGCAGCATTTTATAACCTTCCCGGGCCTAGCGTCTGATAGAAATCGCTAGAAATCGCCGGTAGATGTACTAAGTAATCCGCAGTATAGTTCCCATTATATCTGCTCGGCGATTAGCTCTATTCATGCGATAAGCTTATTCATCCCAGCCTCTCACATGTGATGTTCTTAAACCTCCTTATTATAATATATAATCCAAGACATAATGTCCCTATCCGCGAAGCAGACTAATACTAATGCTGAAGAGCACGACGAACTTCAACATGTACGCATCCATTCTCAATGTGGTGCTTGTGGTTTCCTTTTCTGTGTAGGGGATCGTCTAGTTGCTCGTATGAATCCTCTATTCTCTTTGTTTTTTTTAAGGATATATAGCTAATTCTACAATTACTTACCTCTAAAGTCCTTTAAAGTAATACCATAGTAGCGGCTATATAGCTTTAGATGCACTCAACTTTCCTATAGCAGACTATGGTGAAATTCGACAAAATCTGCTTTTCTGCCAATATCTTCACTGCAACGTATGTATAGCGGCTGAAGAAACTGCTACAATTCACGCGGATTGTTTCAATCTATATAAAAGTCAAGCAACCTACCAAGACAAAGTATATCGACTCTGGTTTGCTTCCCTTAGGATATATCCGTGGCCTGGTAGCCCAGCTCTCTTACTCCCCCCAAAGCCGGATATAGACCGTGCCAGCCGTCTTGCCGCAGATATATACAATCTAAAGCAGCTATCTAAGCTTCCTAGCGAAATCAACACTATGATATGGAACTTCTCGAGACGTAATGATCTATTGCGTTTCTCCGCCGTGCTTCAAATGATCGATACACTCTCTTCTACAAGTTACGATAGATTGGTATCAACAAGCCTTCGTCATATTCAAGATTGGCGTCGCGGGGACTATCCTATCATCAACACAAACAGTTCATGCTCTCTCATTCAACTAACAATTGATTCAAAAGGTATTAAGTCTATTCAAGGGCTACAGCATTCTATATATAAACCTCCATCCCAATTCGTTGTATATATGACCTTTAAGGCTAGTCAAAATCTATCCATCAACTTTCAAGTCGGTTAAACCTATTCAATAGATCTTTATAGGCTTTGCTAATTGCGTCTTTAAATTCGGTCTCAGTCGTCTCAGTCGTCTCAGTCGTCTCCCTGGACCGGAACAGCTCCAAATCACGGACATCCCAAATCCCCCAGACCCTGTGGTGATAAAGTTAATATTATAGACGAAAAGAAATTCAATATAAATCCCTATATAAATTTCTATTATATACATAATGATATTAATTTTTCTTTTGTTATTAATAAAATACTGATTTCATTAATGATAAATATTATTGATATGAAATGCGACCCGTTTATTATTACATTTTTAATAGAAAAAAAGAAAATAAGGGCCTTTAAGATTCCAAGATCTTTAAATATTAGAATTGTAGGAAAGATAGATGGAAGAGTGTGTGCGTAGAGGCTAGGAGGAGACTGTAGCAGCGAATGGAAGCTAAGGAAGAGGAGGAGGGGAGCGAGCATAGGGACTAAAATGAATGAAAGACATTAGCCGAAAGTCTAAAGGGGGGTCTATTCATCAATCGCTATACTTCACCTTCGATTTGTTCTTCAATCAAAAGCTTTATCATTATACCACCCACACAATACAGAATTTATTAAATAAATAATCTAATTTTAATACAAATAGACCTTTTTATTTGAAAGTAATTACCTTAGACTAAAAGTTAGAATTAGCTTTCGAAATTCAAGAAATTCATCAAGACCCTATTAATTAAAATAAGCTTCGTAAACTACAAAGATTTAGATTAATCATATTAATACTTTAAAAACAATTTATTCAATATATATTTAAAGGTTAAAGAATTTATTATAATGATAAAGAGTTCACTTCGTCAAGTACCGATTCTGCTACCACAGGGAGAGCTAACAAAATGCTTTCGCTTCCCGACCCCTTTCAACGTTGAATCTATCCGTCTTGCGACTATCGAATTGGGATCTTGCTCGGAAATCACGTTTTTTTTCGACTGGAACAAATATTCATGCAATACATACCCATACTAAAGTCACACCTTTCGCAGAAACAACTTTTGCGCGGCTTTCAAAGTATATTCAAGATCAGGTTATATGGGTATACGTGCCAAGCCCGCCAACAGATATGATATCTGCATTTGTATTTAGAGTAAAAGTTGATTCTAAGGGCCAGCTTCAATTAGACAGTCTCTGCTATTTGGCAAGTCAAAATAACGTCGTTCTCAAAATATTATAGCTAATAAGTAAAAGATACGTACGCCGTATAGAGGAGATTTCATAGTTGGGCCATATCAAGACGGGTCTATAAAAGACTTTGCCATTTCGACATCGGCTCGGTCAACTTTAATCTATTCTATTCCAGAATACAGACCTATATCAATTCTAGGGCTATTTCCTAACGGCCCTATATGTTCTAAACCCTCTCCTCGCGCCCCAATGGTCTCCTGCGATCTACCAAATGCATGTTATACATCAGCTCTGCTAAAGGGTGTTGCGTGCGTTTGAGTATTTCGTGATAACCAGGTAAATTTCTGCCGAGGTCTTATTATCGAATATAACGATAAGTCTCAACAGGCACTCGGTTGTTGTCGTATAGGTTTTGATCCAGCTGAGAGATGTACAGATTTATTGCATCTTGCATTTGCTCCTAGTCAGTCCAGGCGTTATAATGGTTTACAATGTCGTGTCGTAAAGGTAGAAATATCCTCAGCGCCAGTTAATGGCAGCTACCTTGATGCAGGTTGGAAACGTTGCTCTGAAGGGCTTACCTTGGAAGTCTGGGTGACAGAATTGGAAATGGTTATCAATATGGTTTAAATAGAGTGATAAAGAGTATTTAATATCGGAAATTAAGCGCGTTGTTTCAAACCCAATTATATGTTTATTGACCCTTTAACATTCTACCATCTTGCTTTGTATTGAACTTTTTTCCCATCAGCGAATCACCATTTCTCCTTATGCTCAGCTTGAGTCCATCCTGTTTCATGATAAACCCACTCCTTATCCGGGCGTGTACAAGCGACAACGTTTCCAGCGCCATTGAAGTAGTACTGTCTATCCCTAACATAATAGTACTTGAGTGGGAACTCCTCCTCCTGGGATGGCTCTACACGTTGTGACGGTCCTGCTGAAGCTGCATGTGATGGTCCAGCGCTACTATACCCCAACGGTGTACTGACCCTACCGTTGAAGGAGAGCGAAGCCCGGCGAGAATGTTATTCGAAGGAGGGACTGGGCAAGATTTCATGTAAAGAAGCGCCTCCAGAAGCTCACTTTTAGAATATTTGAAGTCGAGGTATGTGTTTTTGTTTCCGCCATCTCCAATGAAGGGCACGAATGGCATGAGACCACTTATGTTCGAGTCAAAGATCCAGGTACGCATAGAATGGCCACAGCAAGTTATTGTCCACATCCTTTTCCTATCTGTGTTCCCCCAGCTGTACTCTAAATATGCAAAGAATGCCTAAGCTTCAACCTATAAAATATCTTTAGAATCAACTTTACCCTTTTTTGCTTTATTGAATAATAGAATGAATGATTACCTTCTATTCAATTTCTTAATAATAAGGTCAATTCGTTTTTGAATTTCTATATACACCGGAGGATGCTTAATCGATATAAATCAATAATATTTAGTAAATATATATTTTTCAAGAATATATAGTCAAAAATCTTTTTGTAGCTTATTTGTTATATTATTCCGTAGTTTTTTATAATTTTATAATTATTTTGTCTTTATTAAGGTTTATTATAGAAATATACTAAGGTAGAAGAATATAAATATAAGATTAGTATATATAAACCAGCTATAGTGTCTTTACTAATACTTATATATTCAAGCTTAAGGGTAAGCTTTCTAAAAAAATATCATACTATATAAAATGTTGTAAATCTTTTCATTCATCTAGAATAAACCAAACCTTGATTAATTATATGATTAATTAATAACATTTCAATCGATATTTTAGTAAAGGATAATTAGAATAAAAAATATTTGAATAGAATAATTTGAAAAAGAAATAAAAGTAGGGGAAATCATACTTTAATTAAATTATAACTTTATAATAACCTAGTTTTATAATTATAACCCAATTTTAAAAGTTTTCCATATAAGATTTATATTATTATTTCTTGAATATAAATTGTAATATAAAAGCAAGAGTTAATAAGGCTATACCTTAATAAAAAAAGTAATAAACATAATATACAACTACAATTTTTAAAAGGAGGCGGAAGATAATATTTTTATAAGAATTCTGTAGTAAATACATTATAGAATAAGATTCTACTTTCTTGTTAGGTTATGTATTGAATGCTTGAAAATTGAAAAGGGGTTTAAATCTTTTTTCTTATTTGATATCATGTCTAAGTATATATTATATATACCTACTAGATTAAGAACAGAATTTGCTAATTTAAATAATTATCACTTTTTTATATACAAAAGACTTACTATAATTCAAAAAAATTCTTTTTAATCTAATACCCTTAAAAGACTACTTCATATTGATTATTATTAAAAGAATATTTTAATATATAATCTTTTGTTCTATTAATTAAATGTTACGACGACATCCAACATACCGAGTCACCTGATCAGAAAGTCACGGGATTAGAGATTCCCACTGGATCCCACTGCTCCCACCTGGTGGGACACGATGGGATCAATGGGACAACAAAGAACGAAGGTCTATATAAAAGAATGGGTTTCATTACAATGTAGAGCTTCGTGCTCAAGATCAATCATTAGTTTCATACTATAGTTACGAGAATTGCAACCAGTTACAACCTTATTGAATTCCTACTTGAAGTTTAGTCTAAACCACCTCGAGAGATCTCTAGACACTTCCATGTGACCCTAGAGGCAGCTCCCGTAACATTAAAGAGTAGATAATAATTATAACATAAGGATATGATTAATTATCGACAATAATATATAAGTATACATAATTTATTATTCTTAAATATTAATTTGCTGAAATTATTAAATCTTCAAATTAATTTATTATTTTTAAAGCTATATATAAACCTTATTAGAGAGAATAATTCTAAAGGTTTAGGTTTTTATAATAAACAATTTAGTTTAACATTTAATATCAAAAAAGGTTCAAGTATAGTATATTATATAGTATTTTTAAATAAAGACGAGATAATCTCAATATTTGTTTTTTCTGTTTTATTTTAATGTTTTGTAATATTTTAATAAAGAATATATATTATAAAGTCAATAATTAATTTATATTACTGAAAATCGATATTCATATTAAATATTATGAATATACTAAAATAAAAATATATAATACTAAAAAACATTTTAAATAATAAGATCCTTATATATAATTTATAGATTATAAACCTACTTTCTATAATTAAAGATAAAGGTAAGAAAAGTGAAAACTATAATAGAATATAATCATATTGTGTTACTTTAATTGTTAAAATTAGCTTTTGATAATGTTACGACAGACATCATATGACACATTCGCGTGTCACATGAGGGAGCCTTGGGGAGCTACGGGCTCCAGGAGCATATGGATCCCAAGGGCTCCAGATGATAAAGGTCTATATAACAAATAAGTTTCATTAGAATATAGAACTTCGTGCTTAAGAACAATCATTAGTTTCATTACTATAGTTACGAGAATTGCAACCAGTTACAACCTTATTGAATTCCTACTTGAAGTCTAGTCTAAACCACCTCGAGAGATCTCTAGACACTTTCACGTGACCCTAGAGGCAGCTCCCGTAACAGATAAGTATTTATTAAAAAAGATGATAATTATAAATAATTATAAGTAATCTAAAGATAACATTTTATTGAATAGTAAATGTATTCCCTAGTATATCTTGTTATAATTATAAAATAGTATTAATAAGAATATAAGCTTTCTTTAATTCAAATAATTTTATGAGCTTAGTAAAAAGTTATTTTAATTTTCATTTTAAAAATAAAAATATAATATTATATTATATTATATTATATTATATTATATTATATTATATTATATTATATATACATACATACATACATATATATCATTCAAAAAACAAATACAAATATAAATACGTAGTAAGAACTAAGACTAGAGATTCAGTATCAGAACAAGAGGAGAAAAGTGAAGAGAAGTAAAGAAAAGAGTAGAGCAGAGAAGAGTTGAGGAATAATAAAAGAATATCTCATTATCTCATTTCACTTCATGCTAACCTAAATAACTGACTAACTAACTAGCTAACTAATATCATGCTATGTGTGAGGTTAACTGTAACTGTGATTGTAACTGTCACTGTAACCAAAAAATTAAAACTACCAAAGTATTGTGTTGTATTGAGTATTAAGCAATAGAGCTGTAAAGATCGTATCTCATCCCTTCGTAATCTGTTATATTCATCCATATTCATATCTGTGTTCTCATGCATTGTGCGTGGAACTCCCTACTCATACTGATGCTGATGCGTGCTGTGAATCCTTATCGTTTTTCATCCATTACTTGAGTCTTCAGACTTTTCTGTTGGAGTTGAAGTTAAAGTTAAAGTTAAAGTCGAATCACCAATTTCCCGCACCCGTAAGTAAGGACTGTCGATATTAAAGCGTAAAGAAATTAAAAAGAAAAATTAACCCGTTGTATCCATCCTGCTTCTCGTATTTCGTCTCAAAAATTCCCCTTCCCATCAAACCATCCAAACTCTTTGCTCAAACCCCAAAGAAACTTAATACTCAAGGGCAAGCGAGTCGAATGAGCATGAAGTTATCTAGGTATCTATGCAGGGCAAGAAACACTTCTAACAGTTTGTGGAGGACCCATATTCCTACAGAGAAGAGAATCAATCAGTAAACGACTCTTGATGTTTAAGAAATAAGTTTGAGAGAAGGAAGTACTTACCAAACACCACTAGCGATTTGTACAAAAGCTGGTGGGTAATCGACGGTATCGAGTTTACAGTTGGGGATATTGTATGTGGAGCGAACTTGGGAGATTGAGAGGGCGTTGTCTGTGAGAAGGGGGGTGTTAGTGGTTTTTCTTTAGGGGGGGTGAGATTGTGGAGTTTTGAAGGGGGTGGTGAGGTTACAAGGAGGTAGGAAAGAGTAGAGGAGAGAGTTGAAAATCGAAAAAAAGTAGGTAATACATACTCGTATAAACTGGTCCTCCACCAAGTGGTACACTAATGAAATATTTCGCATCCGCAGCCCCATCCAATTCAATGCTAATCACTTGACCCGAAGGAGAACCTCCACTCGTACAAGAGATATCGATGATCGTTTGAGGTGGTCCGACTTGCCATGTATTTGGTGGTCCTTGCTATTTAGACGGTCAGAAACTAAGCTTGAAGATGTGTGACACCATTCTCCGTGGGGTCGAGGAGGAGAGGAATATGATGTGGGATAGAAAGAATAGGGAGATTAGTTCATGGACGGGACGAGGATGAAATTGGATCAGGAAATTTCAGAAACTTACAACTAAAGCGGGCGTGTAATCCACGGCAAGAATCTTACAATTCTTTTGCACATCAAAGCCGTCCGTGGAGATAGAAGAAATGCTCAAGACATTATTGGTGCTAGTAGTCGAACCATCGAGTGGAACAGATAATATGTATTGAGCGCCTGCTGCACCGTGAAAGGTAAGTGATGCTGTGTTGAGAGGTGGAGAGAGAGGAAGTGCAGAGGTTAATGCTAGGGAGGTAATGAGGGTAGCGATAGTTGTGAAGTACATTTTGATCTTGGGGTGGAGTTAAGATGTGGTGTGAGTGTTATGTAGGAGGGTTTGATTGTTGATTGTTGATGGTGATGTGTAAGTTTGATGCAGTGTAGAGAGATGTATTGATTATGATGATGAAGATGAATATGAAAGAGGAAGTTGAGCATCTATATATACGTTTCTCCAAGTATTCATGTCCTCATATAACTTCCCTGTAAACATAAACTCATAAAAGAGCCCCACAAAGTCTCACATCACCATCTCATCCACTTCCTCGCCGCGATGGCACTGTCGCCCAAAAACCCACTCACCTTGTTCTCCACAGATCTCAAAATAAGCATACCCACGCAGCTTGTGCAGTTCGTGTTGGTATCCATAATCAAAGACTGAACCCCAGCAAAGCAATCCAAATTCTAACCATGTCCTATCTCTCTAACGTCAAAATCACACATCAAAGCCATCCGACAACACGCAGCTTTACCGATTGAACTTTCAGCTATAATATCACCTGACATTTGCATACGAAGTCAGGCTTAGATTTGAACATGATTTCCGCTTGCGTCATGTCCAAAATCTTAGAATATGGTCAAAAACTTAGCCAGGCTTAGAACCAGGCTCAAAATAAGCTTCTCCCACCGAATCTTACACTGGCGATCGCTAGACCACGAAGCATTTCCTCATGTAATGAGAAGAGATGAGAGGTGTGAGGCATGAGGCTCATCTGAATATGGCTGGGATGAAACCCGAATTCCACTGAGACAAACCAAGAGTATGTACGAGGCGTGGTTGTCGATTGGTGTAAATATTATGAGATTATTCAATTCTCGAATGCATTTCCAGTCTTGATATTCGGATTTAGGCCTGTGCAATGTGGGTGGGTTATTGTACGACGTGAATCATGCATAAAGATGAATGCGTGGAATGCGTCGGATGAGGGGTAATCCAAAGCATCACGTGTCACATATCCGCGCCAAATTCTTGGAGATGACATTCAATCGTGGGAAACATACATTTGTGTAACAGTAGGTTGATGACTTGGCTCTTGGGTGAGAATATACGAGAATTCAAATCGTAACCTCCCGTCTTCCCGTGTTGGTTTCCGCCTCAATACCGTGACCCGAGTCAAAGAGAAAGAATATGATAGAATTTTACGTAACGACTCGACTATACTTTTCGTTCGTATTTCTTTCCTGGAGTTCGATGAAGGCGTTGAAGTTCCTAGAGAGGTTCAACCCGATGAAGAGATGCAGAAAGATATCGATGGAAGCATACTTTCCGTTCGTCGATTGCTTGTAATGAGCCGAGATAATGAAATCAGCCTCTCGAAAAGCAATTCAGCTCTCAAAATGCATCCTGAAGTGCTCTTGTATACCGCGGGAAACCATATTGAGGCTTATCAGACCCGTTTGCTTCGTATATGTCTCATAGACCCCAACGCCATGCTCATACCAAAATTCTCATACAGATTCGCATTGCCGTTTCCAAAGATGCTTACCTAGGTATGCGAAGCATCTATCCCAAGCTTCAAAGCATTTATCAAACAACCATTTATACTTGTATTCTGCATGATGTAGTATAAGAGATACTAAATCCATCCTGATTTTCTCCTTTGTGCAAATTATATTCTATACCTCGACATCTCCTGAGTCCATGATAATTTGTCCCGATTCCTGAAATTTCATATCGAAGACCAATAGATCCAAAATATAGACCCCAAAACTTTCACTGTAGAGTTATTATTCTTCCACATAACTCTACTTGGAGAGAGCCCGATTTTCAAACATAAATCAAGATTAAGAATCTGATGTGTTTGCTCGCTGTGTGGTGATCGAGGTAGATTGCACATCGAACAATCAATATAACATATTTCAATATCCCACTTCAAATTCAACAATCATTCCTCTTTAACATCACAACTCAAACCCAACAATCACCTCCTCCCAACCTCTCAACCTCTCACCTTCTCCCAACCTCTCAACCTCTCACCCCCATCCAAACAATCATCAACGCTCCTCTCCATATCCCTTCCAAACCCAAACCCAAACCCAAACCCAAATCCAACAATCACTCCCCTTCAACCTCTCACCAACTCACCAACTCACCAACTCACCAACTCACCAACTCACCAACTCACCAACTCACCAACTCACCAACTCACCATCTCACCAACTCACCATCCCCTTCCAAGTTCATCAAGCTTTCGAAATCCTCCCTCTACCTCCCTCTACCTCTCTCTACCTCTCTCTACTTCTATCCTAATCTAAACCTCATCCCATCCATCTCTGCCCAGTTCGAATTCATCAAGACTCAAGACTCAAGACTCAAGACTTACTCAAGACCCAAGACAACCATGTATACTTATACCCACCACACTCTTTCTTACACGATACACTAGTATGTAGCAAGTACTAAGAGCAGTAACTATGCCTTGAAAGTCTCCTATCACTTATGGTGAGAAAATGAGTGACTATAATGTGCTAGGCGTCATCAAGCACAAGCAAATCATGGAGAACAACTAACCAAGATCTCCACACATCTCCAAGTCTTAGTTACTTCACATCTCACCATTCATCCCAAGTTCTAAGCTTAAAATAGTTATCATTAACAGTAACTCTACAGCAGTATATACAATCAATAATACACGCCATCCATCATTTTCTTCTTTTCGTTTTTTTTTTCTCATTTTAACATTTTAAGAGTTTTTTTTGGACATTTCTTGAAAATCAACTTCCCCACACCCTATTTATACGCCTTTCCAAATCATGTCATTTTATCCCACGATACCAAATCCTAGTGCTCCACAAGCTAAAGCCTTGTTACGTATTTATCTTGTAATGCTCATTGCGAACCAGTGATTTAGTACGTACTAGACCCAAGCTAGTAAGTGCTAAATACATCGTCAAGATCACTTTCTAATACTTATTTCTGCTCTTAATTTTTCGACCAGAAGTCAATCTCATTCCCCTCGATAACAAGGACATTGCAGTCCGAGATATCCTCTGAGCTCCCGTTTTCCCGTGGTGATCAGTGAACACTAAATCGCCGAGAACGACCCGTTCAATCCACCCCGCCCACTCATGACTCATTCATGCATCAGAGGGATAGTAAATTGCTGTTTTCATCACAGCTAAAAACCAAAAGAAATAAACATCCCCGAAAAATCTCCAATCATAAATCTTTGAATCGTGCTGATATTCCACTTGATTATGATGATGCCGCTTTGAAAAACATGGTAGAAACATGAACAATATACATGGAACATAAAATTTGGTTTGGTCGAAAACGATTTTGACACCTGGGCAAAATCGTTTGTCTTCAAAGATTTGATACTGGTCGTGAAGGCAAGAAGTTGGTTCATCGTTCGTGGAGAGTAGAGAAATTGTAAAGCAAAACTCCAATTCCCATAAAACAGACTTTTGTTTTCAATTTGTGCATTTATCTCTGTAAGCAAAGTTAGAATTTGTATCGTTGTATCAGACCAGGAAGTTAACTTACTCTTCCACGTCGACTGTTGACTGGTTCTTGCATATACTGCATGTTCTGTGTAGGCAAACCATTGAAACCATATGCTCCCATACCCATTCCCATGTTGTTTAGACCAGGAGCTCCAAATGAGCTTTGTCCTAGCATTGGTCCAGGGCTGATTTGCTGAGATGGGGGTTGGATAGGGCTGGCATTTTGCATTCCTCGATATTGGTCTGCCAATTGTGGACTACTAAATGCACCAAATCCTGATTGCATGGTAGGATAATAGCTGCTGATAGGAGGAGTACCTCGTGCCATGTTCATGTTTTGGTATTGAAATTGTTGCATATTCATTGGCTGCATCATGGGCGTAGACGATTGTGGAAACATTGAACTTTGAAGTGCGAATTGCTGGAAAGGTTGAACATTGGAATCCATGCTGTCAGTTCTTTGCATACCCATGCCCATGTCATATGCATTTTGCTGCATTTGTGGATTTTGTTGCATCTGTGGATAGTATTGATTGGAACCGTATTGTGATTGAGGCATGAGTTGTCCAGTAGCTTGACTTTGTTGCGATCCAGGTCGAGTACGGTCAGTTGCTTGTTGTTGACTGTGCTCTCTGCTTGGTCCGGCACTACCGTTACGAGTTGACAATCCAACCTCATCCATGAGACGCTTATAGCCTTGTGCTGGTTGTGCCTTGAGACGAAGCAAAACGTTTCGAACGTTCTCGACAACCTTGCTTCGAATGGACTCATCAAAGAATGGAGTGGTAAGTACTTTGAAAATCAAGGTAGCACCACACGCTTGGTCGGATAAAATGGCTTCGAGCGTTTCATCATCTTTTGAAAAGAACAATGCTTGAAAGATTTGATCGCGAGCATCATTCTCTAACTTTTGGTTGATGACCTTGAGAACGGTGAGATATGCAACCTTGTGCTTGCAAAGGTGGACAAGATTTGGTACTAATTGAGGTGCGAGAACAGATCGACGTTGTGGGAAGGTGCAAGTGTCCAAAAACCAAGTCAAGAGCAAAGCACCATTGGCATTGGTAGCCAATTGAACACTGTGTAGCGCAATGGCGGCTGCCAACATTCGTTGCTGATCCTTGGTAGAGTGATGACTTTCGAGACAAGCTCGCATAGCTCTGGCGCCGTATCGACCTTCAGAGATAGGCTTCATTTTGCTAAGCATGGCTTCGAATATAAAATCATTGTAAGGCGAACCAAACTTCAAGCAGCATTGCAAAACATAATTACCGTATTGATCGAGGAACAATGGCACAGTGTATGGCGCGAGGTTCTGAACTATCATAGTGACTTGCTTGGGCGTTTTGCATACATCGATGATTTTTTGTGCTGCCCAAGTACCATTTTTGTGCACACCAATCTCTGCCATATGGGGAGCAATTTGCTGAAGCATAAGGTCTCTGGTGTCATCGGAGCAATGTTCGAACAACTTTTGGACAACAGTATTTCCGAGATAGTCCGACGATAACTCAGCAACTTCTTCAAGCATTTCCATAGCGATAGCCTCAATCTCGGCGGGCGAACAACTTTGATTGTCAATGCGCTTTCTTATATCTCTAAGCTTAGGAGCATCATGAACTCTACTGTGGCTTGGTTCCGCGATTGCCGGTATTTCAGACTGCCATTTGTCATATGAGATGGA